GGGGGGATTTACACTGACCCCCAGTGTAAGGACAATTCTGCACTTACCACCAATGTAAAGGGAAATTTACACTGGTTACCAATGTAATGGGGAATTTGCGCTAACCACCAATGTAATGAAGAATTTACACTGGCAACCAATGTAATGGGGAATTTTACACCAACCACCAATACATTTATACACTGGCCACCCATGTCAGGGGGAATTTACACTGACCACCAATTTAAAGGGGGGCTTCTACATGGACCGCCATTGTAAGAGAGAATTCAACATTGACCACAAGTGCAAGTTAGGATTTTCTGCTGCCAATGACTACCAATATAAAGAGAAGTTTCTACACTGGCCACAAATGTAAAGGGGATTCACACTGGCCACTAATGTAATAGGAGCATTCACAGTGACCACCAATGTAAAGAGGGACTTACACTGACCACCAAAGTAATTAAGATATTTAGCCTATGTTCACATTTGTTTCCTGACACAACAGAATCGTGCTGTCCTTTAGCAGATACACAGCAGTGTCAATAATTGTTATTGACACCCTCACACATCTGCTGATGTACACGTTTTCACATGCACCATAATTCACTGTGTGGCTAGCTGTGATTTTGAAAGAGCGTAAGGGACTTTTTTTCCCACCTTTCTAGTGCATAGAGCAGCCCATTAAAATGGATGGGCTGTCCATGCCTGTTGTACATCTTTATCCATGCCGTCAGTACACCTTTGCATCCTACATTTCCATACTAACCTCTGCACCCCAAACCTCCCCTATCCTCTCTACATGCCTCCTCTGCTCATCTCTGCAACCACCTTCCTTACCTCTGTACATCCCCTCCTTGCTCACCTGTGCACCTCAAACTGTAGTTCCTTTTCTGCCCACCTCTGCATCACCACCCCTAACCCCCACACTTTGCTTTTACCTTTGCAGAACAGGCTCGGTGACCACAGTTGCAGGCAGGACTTTCAAGAATGCCCTTTTTTACCTCCCCAGTGGGCAGCATTCAGAAGAGGTGATGGTGGCTGGATCCTCAGGGGGCATAATATAGATATGAATGCTGCAGTTATTTACATATGAATGGTGCTGCTATTTACATATGAATGCTGCAGGCCTGCCACTATTTACATGTGAATGCCAGTTATTTACATGTGAATGCTGACACAGTTTGCACCAGTCATCTGTACATGGCAATAGGGCAAAGCTGGGCAGCATAAGTGACAGCACTTTGCACTGAGACACAGCAGGGGACTAAGACTTCAAGGGACAATGGAATGTAAACCAGGACAGTTGGCAAGTAAGGGGCAGATACTTTAGGCCCTATAACAATCACTGGGTCCAGGGCAGCTTCACTTTTTGCCCCTCCTTGAAGTGGTTCTAAAGGCTCAAAGTTTTTTACCTTCATACATTTTATGCAGGAAGGTAAAAAACCTTCTCTGTGCAGCATCCTCCTCAGCCCCCTAATACTCACCTAAGCCTCCTCTTGATCCAGCGATGTAAGCTGGAGTCTTGGCTATCCCGGGACTCCCTCTTCTCATTGCAAGCGGGACCCATTGTCAATCACAGCCAGTGAGCCAATGAGATGAGAAAGGGGGCAGGGCCGAACCGCAGCTCCATGTGTAAATGGATACAACCTGCTTGCTGTGGGGGCACCCGACAGGAGGGAGGGGCCAGGAGTTCCGGCTGGGGACCTGAGAAGAGGAGGATCTGGGCTGCACTGTGAAAAACCACTGGACACAGCAGGTAAGTATAGACATGTTTGTTATAAAAAAAAAAACAACCTTTAGAATCACTTTAAAGATGGCCCTAGTGTACATACATTTACGTGCATATTCCCATGTACTATACAGCTCATCCTTACATTTTAACGCAGGAACTTTCTGCCAGTAATATCGGATGTTCATCAGTACTGTGTGCAAGAGCCCTTAACGGCTTCGTTTTCAGGCAGTATTTCACTTTTTGTCCTTTTCTAATGTCTTATCTACCCAAGTCATTCCAATGTGCTTATCTCTCACTTACCTAGTCCATGGCAGCTTTGAATCTACACCTCTCAGTTCAACATTTTTTTAAATTGCATTGTGAACCCATCACTTCCTGTTGCATCATGTGACCCTCCAGGAAACTTCATATCATATCATACATTGCCTTAATGCACCACAGAATTGGGTGAGTTTTACTTCTGTAGACCGCAAATCTACAGGAAATTGTACAGAGATTGTACAATCATTTTGCATTTATACAAGTACATGGGAGGCAGACATTGAGTTGTCAATGTTTTTGTAATCCAGCGTCAGCTCAAGGATGGGGAGTAAAAACACCAATTTCACTTTCAGGCCCCATTTACACAGCATAGTGGGAGCACAATGTTTTGGTGTGTTTTTCCTGAAACACACATAGACAAAGACATCAAAATAGCCCATGGGGCATTTTTGCATGTTGCAGTTTGCACATTTTTTACTGAGCATCGGTTGTGTACATTTGCACTCAGCAAAAAAGCATGTTTGCTTCCACTTTTGGAATGCCATTAACAATAATGGCACCAAAAGCTCAATTAGTTAATTTTAGGTGTATAAAAATGGTCATACACTATGCAATCTGATTGTACAATCTCTGTACAATCTCCCTTAGATTTACCAAAACGATACAATAGAAGGACACACCTGTCTATCCAATTTCTGTATCCAATCAGGCAGGCACTTGCACTACATAGTTGATGGTAGATCTAAAAGAGGTTGTGCAATTAGATTGTGTCGTGTATGGTGAGCTTTACAGACTTCCAGGACACACTTCTCCTGTTTTCAATACTACAGCTCCGCTCCATATTTAGGTGTCCGTTTATGACACAGAGAATAGCTGTGATTCATAGGATCGCAGCTATTCTCTGGTCATTCACAGTTTATGACACTCAGGAGATCAGCGGAGAACATGTTTAGCCCTTCTCTGGAGATCTGTGTTCTCCCTCCAGATTCTCCAGCCTAGAGCTGGAGAATCGGAGGGACCAAAAACTAAGCAGAGATTATTTACCTCTGTTTAGTAAACTGATCTTTTACTGTAATCTCGCAAGATTATAGTAAAATCAGCCGTTTTCCAGCGTTTGTAGACCGTTCTCCCTTTGTTTGGAGAACTGCTCTACACCGCTTCATAAACGGCATTCACAGGAGAACTGTGTTCTCTGAGAATTCAGGAGAATTGAGCAGCGATCATTTACCGCTGGTTCATAAACGGACACCACAGTGAGAACAGTGCTCACTGACATTGCCTATACTAGAGAAGCATGAAACTACAGAGGCGAGTGGGAACAATCACCTAGAGGGGGGGGCAGGTGCAGAGTGTGTGTTGACCACTTCGATGCTGGGCACTTTCACCCCATTCCTGTCCAGGCCAATTTTCTGTTTTCAGTGCTGTTGCACTTTGAATGACAATTGTGTGGTCATGCAATAATGTACCCATATGAAATTTGTAACCTTTTTTGAGGCAGATAGAGCTTTTTTGGAGGTATTTAATCACCACATGGTTTTTTTATTTTTACTAAACAAATTAAAAAAGAATGAAAATGTTGAGAAAAAAAACCTTTTTCTTAGTTTCTTTTATAACACTTTGCAAATAAGTAAATTTTCTTCTTCACTGATGTGCGCTGATGAGATTGCACTGATGGGCACTGATAGGCTGCACTGGTGGGCACTGATAAGGCTGCACTGATGCTCATTGATGAGCCTGCACTAATGTTCATTGATGAGGCTGCATTGATGGCCACTGATGAGGCTGCACTGATGGTCACTGATGGGTACTGATGAGGCTGCACTGATGAGGCAGCACTGTTGGGCAGTACTGATGGGCACTGATGGAAACTGATTAGGTATAACTGATAGGAGGCACTGATGGGCACTGATATGCTGCACTGATTGGCACTGATGGGGCTCCACTGATAATCAAGGCACTGATGGTCAGTGCCAGGATTATCAGTGTAAACCATGTACTGACAGCCTTCCCAGTTATCAGCTCTCTTTTCCTCACACAGACACAGCGTATGAGGAAAAGACAGTTGATAACCGGCAAGCCTGTTTACATGTGATCAGTTGTGATTGAACGCTGCGATTGGCCCTTTATCCCAATCTAAAACCAGCTGTGGGGCTCCAAAGGACACAGCCATCACAGAGCGCGTCTGATGTGCACCAAGAGGTGCGCAAGGGGTAGGGTTCTCGGAGGATGTCCATGAATGCCCTCCCAAAATGGTTCTGTTGCCCTGTTTCACCTATAGCACGATATTAGATGGTTATTGAGGTTATCCTAAGGATGAATACCAGAAAGTAATAGAGGAGTTTTCTATAGGACATACTGGGGGCAGAGGTAATACCTGCTCTTGAATATAGAGAAAGCTTTTTCTTTTCAGCAACATAGATACATTATTGGTTCATTGGTACATAGATACATTATTGGTTCATTGGTACATAGATACATTATTGGTACATTGGTACATAGATACATTATTGGTACATTGGTACATAGATATATTATTGGTACATAGAAGGCTGGAATTTAGAAAAGAAAAGAGGGTAAACTTAGCCTTTAATGTTTCTAGTACAATACATTTTTTTACCAGGAAGTAACTGAAGAAATGTTAAGAAAAAAGTTTAAAAAAGTAAATATGATATACTTTCCTATCTATTTGCTAATGCTAACAGCATAAGGATTTAAAAGAGTGTTGATGGAGAGAGTGAAGTTCCACTTTAAAACACTCAAACCACAATCTTGTAGAAAATCTGTCTCAAATAACATAGCACTGCTTCTCTTTAGAATATTTAAAAAAAAGTTTTTCTATGTGAACATGTATTAAAGAAAGCAGGACGTAGGAATAATAATATTCGTACAAATGATACAAAGACCTGCAGATCACTTCAATAAAGAAAAGTGAAAATAGATGTAATTAGGCCAGTAGTTTTACTAATAGTAATTATGCAGAAAATGTACCTCTGTCTGTATTTTCTGACATTTTTAACTTTTGCAGCTTGATTTTTGGAAACCTCAATCAGCTCATCATATTACGCCAAAATCCAGTGTGTACTTCCACACCAATGCAGAACACTCGGAAACCATTGTGGATCTATTAAACAGGAAAGGAATTCAGTACAAGTAAGTGTTTTATTATACTTTTGCTTAATATAGGATAGCAAGAATGTGTGCATTATTTATGTCCCTTTGCATATATTAGAAATATAAGACAGTCTTTTATTATTGTGTTAATACACAAATGTGCCACTACTCATGCATTAGATGTGAAGTTTGTACATTTCAGATTGGTTCACATTGTGATGTTGTTTTTCTATACCAGGGTCATTATCCATAACTTACAAGAAGCCATTGACAACCAGTTTAGAAAACAAGGTAAATATCAGAAGGGTATGCCAAGGTACCGTCAATGGAAGGAGGTGAGTAACAAACAAATTTTTCTATATTCTTTCGTAAAGGCTCAGTCAGAAGATTCATGAAGGATTTACCCATTTCATTAGATTGCTATGTGGGCTTATTCCATTTCAATAAAATACCCAAATTTGGCCTCCTTGGTTACAATTGGAAACACGGTTGAAGGACACCCCATGCACGTTTTGAAGGTAAAAGTTTCTGTCACATTATTTGGTCTTCAGGATAAGACATGTTGATTGAAAAACCTGAATATAGAATAGTGATGAGCAATTCTACTTGGGTTCAACTCTAGGGTAAACATTCTATTTAGTTTGGCCGTTTGCAAAACGGTGAACACCCAAAGTTTGTGCAAATCCTGGGCAGCAGGAAATGCCAACCTAATCCCTAATATAGAATACTTGCATCATTATGTTTGCTAAAGTATTCACATTTAAAAGGAATGTATGGTATTTTACAATATATTTTCAGACCAATATGAAAGACTACATGAAAAGATTTGCATATCAAAACAGCAGGTATATATTTTCATATGCTTACCAGACTAACTTTTGCTACCTTACCAGAAAAATGCTTAATTTTTTAAATGTCAGAGTGCTCCACTTTCCTTTACAAACCTGCCTGCATTGCTCAGACAGGAAACTATGGCACTTCAAACAGAGAGAGAATCTGAAGTCAAGCTTCTGCTGTGTTATCTCTCTATGAAAAACATACAGTACTTGTTAGATCTAGTGTCATGGGAGGATAATGTACATATAGATTTTTAAAATAAATATTTTATATCTAGCACAGTAAAAAAAATTATCTTGACCCTGAGGTCCCCAAAATACTGTAAGTGCCAAAGGGCCACATGGAGCTTCTGAACTCCAGGTTAGTAAAAGAAGCATTTTTTGTACTGTGGAGGAAAGCAAGTTCAAGGATAAATACAGACCTTCAAAGAAAAGTGTTCCTTGGAGAACACAATTCTAATAACCAAACAATTTGTGTAGTTTTGGAAATCTGATGAGGGCATTCTGTGTATAAAATATTTTTTTTTCCTGTGATGCTGCATTGGTCTTCAGTTCCATGAAGACCTGGTTATTCGGCATGAATAACCATTGAATTATAATATAAGACTACTGTCACGCTATCATTTTAAGGAGAACGGCTGTGGAATAACTCTTTTCCATTATTTGAAAAGTTATTACAAGAGCTACTACACGCGAATTTCTATTCTAGTGTTAACATTTTAAATGGTAGTAATAGCTACAAGGGAACAAAGTAAAACTATCTAACATCCTGTTTATTTTTTTAAGATTGGAAACCCAAAGTCAGGCAAAAAGGCTGTGTTTTTGGAATGTGGCATTCATGCCAGAGAATGGATTTCTCCAGCTTTCTGCCAGTGGTTTGTGAATGAGGTAACAATTTATTTTTGTGTATTTTATTTTCATCAAAAATTTTAGAAAAGCAGTAAAATGTATTCAGTTAATTTAAAGCATAATTCCAGCAAACAATTATATACAAAGCTGAAATACTTATCTGCAAAGGGGTTTGAAATTCCGTTCAGCCAGTCTTTGATGGAACTCACAAACAGTGTGAGGAGGAAAAAAACCTTATGTTCCAGCTTTGCCTGTAGCCCATTTCCTGACACCAAGTCCAACATTTTTCAATAATGCAGGGGACCTTTCTCTGGATCTTTTGAGGTAGAAATCTGTGAGTTTCAATCCCACATATAACATTGCAGTCAAAGATATCTTCCTCTAAATAGTTCTCCTTGTCTGAAGTTTTCCCAGCCTACTCCCCAAGAAGTGAATGATTCATAGAGCTGTGGGGGCTGCATTATCAACAAGTATGTTTTCTGTCTGTTTGGGGTTGGTCTGTTAACATCCTCAGAAGTTATGTGCTGTGTTTTCTCTCTGATTGAACATGGATGCATTCCAACAGACATTAGGGAAGGAAAACCAAAAGTGACTATATGGAATGAAACATTATTCTGACCATTTGCAGTCGATTGATATCACCTGGTGGCCATCTTGGTTTTTTAGCAAAAAAACAACCAGAGGCCATCTTGGGTTTGGGTAAAACATTGCCCAGCAAACCATCTTGGAAATGGGAAAACTGAGCAGATTGGCCAAGAGACAGGGAGCAGGTAGACACGTGGAGAAAATGTTTAAAAAAAACAGCAGCTTTATAGATATGACGTCCAACGGCTAAGATTTGCATGTCTGTAGCTGCAAACTCTGAATTAAGGGCCATTTGCTGTTACCAGGTACAGTCTATGAATCAATGCCCTTAGTCATGCTTCTATGCTGCATTATCATATTTGCCTCTTGTCAGTACTGCTGCTGCCCAGCACCATGAGCTGACTGCATAATAAAATCCACACAGTTCCTTTAGGTAAGGGTCATCATATGAGGCCAGTATTTTGCTACTAAATGAGTGCATTCAGGTGCTAGCAGGGCTCTCTTGGATAAAAAATCCAAGCACACTCTACTGACAAAAATTCACTGTAGAGGAAGAGTCCAGCCCAAAATAAAAAATCCTAGCTTTATGGACACCCCAGATCTCTTTTTAGAGAATGCTGCCACTGAAGCTTTCCTTCTGGCTATTCACAGCTATAAAATAATTGTTATTGTGCCTGGAAGTGTGTGCCAGGACTGCCTGAGAGGTAGCCAGAGTCATAGAAACTAAGAGCAGGGAGTAGTTTTTCTGCCCCATGCCAGGTGATGTGATCATTTCTGCCAGGATTCTCCTCAAGACTATGACTCTCACACGTAGGGATCTTGTGGTACAATAGTATCACATCTAACTCCAGATCAGGAAAACACAGGGTTAGATTGTGTCAGTGTCAGTAGCCCTATTGAAGCTTCTCAGTGCTAACTTTACTAGAAATAAGATATTGCAAATAACTCAAGGTACTTTATAACACCATTTCTATCAACTGGAAAGAGTCTCCCACAGCAGGGAGAAGGTGAGTTTCCATCCAAAGGGCTCTAGGTAAATAAAGAAACTTTCTAGAGTATTACCTCTGACAGAAGAAGTAGGCTGTTTTGTCTTTGGGGACAGTGCCTCTTCAGAACAGCTCAAGACATCAGCATCAAAGATGAAACTGAAGGTGAGAACACTCTTGATTCCTCAGTGTAAGAAAGCTATAGAACAGATTGCAAGGTCTTCTCCATTTCTAATTGTTAGAAAATGTAATTTTTTTGTTTTTCTACTTCTAAACTCCTCGTAAAGATTGGCTCTTTGTCCACCTACAAATCCTGGCAATCAAGTTTACCACATCCTCAGACTAATCCTCCTATATGAAGGTACACTTTTTGGAGTGAGATGCCCTTCTGAACTTTTGCAGATGTATGGGCAGCAGGAAGTTGTATGACAGGTCTACAGGCTGGAATTTCGCTCCCTGCCCCTCCTCGATTTTCAGTCCCCCATCTTCTTTTCACTGTTCCAAAGCCCACAGCAGACATTCTTTCATTATGTATCTCAAAGTTCTGAATGGATGGGTTAATATATAGGGTGCATATAAATATACTAAATTTGGCTTTGCCTCCTTTCTCCTGCAAGATTTTCTGGCTGTTGTGGGCATCTGAGATGATTACCTACATGTTCCCATATTCCCATTACATCAGCGATTCCCACTTCTTGCTATGGGGCCCATGCATTACCAGTTCATGGGCCTGCCGCTTGGCCTCTTTTCTGCTTTCAGGTATTCCTCAGGATACTGGACCCAGTAGTAACACTATTGCGCTCCTGAAACGTTACCATTGTGCGATACTTAGATGATAGTTGGCATAAACTCCATCAACTCCATTAGAGATAGTCACTAGAACTGACTCATTGTTCTCTGAATATCTTGTTGGTCCTGCACACAGCTCAGGACAGAGTGTTTCTTCTGTAAGGAAAACTTTATCTACTGTGGTATCAGATTTGAGGTCTCTGGTACAGGAGCCATGCGTCTCTCCACTTTTGTGTGAGAATCCTAGTTTTGTGAGTAGCGCTTTTTGAGGCAATTCCTTCGGCCTAGTTTTCGCCCCAACCTTTACAAAGTAACATTCTTTCTTTGTGGGAAGAGTCGACTGAGTCTTTGGACAGATGGTTTACCTATTGCTGAGGCTCAGGGATCCAGTTCTGGGAATATTTCCTCTTTATTGTTTAAGGAATCCCACAAAAGATTGCCAGTCAGCATGTCTGGGGAGAAGACATGAACAACCTTATTACAGGGAACTTGGCAGTCAAAGGAGTCCTGTTTTACAAACAACATTCAGAGGTTTTGGGCAATATTTGACTGTCCCCGAAGCATTACACCTTCTTAATAGAAAGTTATTCATTTATATTGAAGCAGACAATGTCATGGCTATGGCATACATTAATTGTTAGGTGGATCCAGATGTTTGCTGCAGCAAGAGAGATAAATTGGATCCTGTCCTTGGCACAAATTCCCGTTCCAGCCTTGTTAGCTATGTGAATTCCAGACATACACAAACTTCCTCAGCTGGCGGCACCTGAACCCAGAGGCTTGGTTCCCACTCCTGAAGGTATTCCAGGATATGTGTCACAAGTAAGCAACTCCAGAGGCTTACTTCCTGGCCTCCAAGTTCAGCAACAAATCGGGACAGGTTCACCTCAGGCACAGTAGTCTTCTGGTGGAAGCAGAGGATGCTCTGGTGACTCTGTGGGATCATTACTCCCTGATTTATGCATTTCCCTATTTGTCTTACAGGTTTGAGATGGATGACATTCCAATATTGTTCACTTTGTCAATTTAAATCAAGCAGATATGGTATGCCAGGTATTTTTTAATAGACTTTACTGGATCAGGTGCTTCTGCCCCCAAGGACCAAATTCACCATCCAGCTTCACTGTTGCTACCTTTAACAGCATGGGGGACAAGGGCATCACTGAGTCTATAAATGGCTTAATGCTAAAGCTGGAAGGTATGCTTTTTGTAAGTCTATCATTGGACATGCAAGGAGTTTCTCCTTAGGATGAATCCTCTACTGGTGCTGGGTCTGGGAGAGCATTCAGGTCTTGGGGGGGTCTCCCATGTAGGATATGGTTCAGTCTGTGTTCCAGATGGCTTTTAAACCCACCATAGGATTTCCTCTATCTACTCTCACCCATAGAGAGTGTATGATTTGCTTTGGTGTGGCATGTATCTGAACTAGTGGCCTTATCTGGTAAGGAACCCTCCCAGTTTTGCATAAGGTAAGGCAGTTTTTGAGGGCCAGTTCTTCCTCTTGTTTAAGTTAGATTTTACCTGTCACTCCAACCAAGACATCATTATCCTATACCTTGGTCAGCCTCTAGCTTGCGCAAAGGAAATTCCCTGCTATTGTAGATGGCTCAGGCTGTGAGAGTCTATTTCTCAGCCTCTCTTTCTTTCAGACAGGCTTTTTCCTCTTTGTTTGCCAGGATGGACCCTGTAACAATGCTCAAGGTTCTAGTTCCACCATCTTGAGGTAATTTAAACAGACCATCCTGCAACCTCATGATTCAGGTTCTATCATTTCCTGCCAAGACACACTCTCTTACATCTATAAGTGCTTCTTCAGTTTTTTGCCTCAGACAATGGTTTCTCAGATCTTCAAGGCTGCCATCTTGGCTTTTATCCTCGCTTCATCTACATCCTACTAGGAGGATATTTGGCCTAATCTGAAGCTAACTTTAGTTATAAGACCCCTTGAGCAGACTCTTTGTGCTGCAGACAGTTCCCAGTTTTTTGCTGTTGTCTTGTGTCTTGGGCCTGTTAATATTTGTGTACATTTTGCCCAACCCACAATAAGACTGCTTTTGAAAATTCTTAATGCATATACTGTAGATCAATGGGAATACACTTTCAAATGACAGATCCATTAGGTATTCAGAATAGCTATTCTTAGCTCCTTGAGAACCAACAAGGGTGAAAGGAGTCACCGCACAATCACCTTATGCTTTCCAAAGTTAGTTCAAAGAGCCTACTTGTCAGCTGGGGTCACCAATTGGTGCCAGGAAAGGAAAATTACAGATAAGTATGATACAATTTTACATTTTTTCTCCTCTGTAGCTAAGCAAAACATTTTGATTAATGTTAGGAGTTTTTTTGTCATCGACCCCTCTCAGACTTGCACAATGAACAGTTCACAATGCTGTTTCTCCTTCTTCCTGTTAGGCAGGGAAATACAGAAATAAATATCTGCAGGTACTTATGTTAACCATTTAAAAAAAAAAAAATTCAAGAATTTTAACAAAAATATACAAGTTTAGCTTTTTGCTGGGCCTTACATGTAGCTATGGTGCAAAAGGGACCAGGTGACACAAGTTTTGCCTTAAAACATCAAACATAAGACAGTTTCAGTAGTGCTGTAGGCATATACAGCAGATTTGCATGTAGCTGATGACTGTGAGAGTGATGCTGCTCTCTTCCAGCGTTCATGCTAATGCCAGACTGGTATGCTGATTTCATGCTGCAAAATGCCTTCTTTCCCATCACTCTTCACAAGCAGGGAGTGCTGCAGATGTCCCTATACCAGGATTTCTCAATCATGGTTCCACTATAGGTTTCCCTTAGAGTTTGCTAGGAGTTCCTTGAGTAGTGAACGACAGATTGATCTCCCACCTACAATTCTAACAAAATAAAAGGGCTACTTACCACTAACATGCAATGTAAGGGGCCAACTCTAGATTGATTACAGATGAAAGGATTTTTTTTTCCACTAACCATCAATGTAAAGAGGCTTTTCTACACTAACCACAAATGTAAGGTGAGAATATAGTTTTTACAGTCTGTGTTTTGTTTTCAGGTAGCAATATTCATTTTCATGATTGACATAGAGAGCAAGGGAAATTAATCTGCTCTAGTTATCAAATATTATAGGTATGCCATATTTTGTATTTGTTTATTTAAATTTTTCAACAGTTTACTGACCATGTTATTTTACCGTAAAATGTCCATGTAATAATTCTTAGCAGGGGTTCCCCTGAAACCTCAAAATAATTTTTGAAGGTTAATCCAGGGTAAAAAGATTGAGAAAAGCTGCCCTAGACTGTTCCTTCTGCAGAGGAACCTGTCCCTATGCTTAGCCTAGCTCTTCCTCAAAAGCAGGTCTCTATCCATGAAATATAAAATAAATGTTGCGCTGTGTCTTTTACATTACCCAAAGTGGATTATAAATGTGAATATTACCACTATTGATATAAAGCGCTAAATCAGGCTAATATAGTTTGTATAACCCAGTGGATGACACCGCTATTTCAATATACACTCAGTGGGTTCCACCACCACTGCTTACATAAATCAAATAAAGTCTAAATAAGAAAAATAAAATAAGGAGACACCACTCCATAATTGTGAACTGTGTTTCCTTCACATGTGATAAATAACAACAACTTCACTGAACATAACCATAATCACCAGATGCAGCCCCTTTCCAATTGAGAAGACCCCTACCTAGATCCCTACCTACTCTCTGCACACTACAGAGCTCCCAGGCTTACCCAGCAAAGATTTAAAAAGCATCCATCTAAGAATACTGCCCTAAACTCAGGAGAACTCAGTGTCCAGGCTGCTTTAAGATGATGCCTGGAGTCCACGGCAGAGGACACACTGGTGCCATGCCTGGGTTTTCCCTGGCAAAAACAATTTCAGTTAAGGAACTAAGGACACATGGGGACATATAGTGGTAGAAAGTGAGAACTGAAACAAAAATCTCATTAGAATTACACAAAGCAAGACTAACACCCTGTTACAAGCTATAAGCAATGGTACCTTACTCTTTTGAAGGAAACAAATCATGAGATAATTAAGGCTATTAAGGCTCTTCTGCTGATCTTTCTTTCTAAAAATACTAGTTGCCTAGCTATTATTTTGATTCTTTAAGTTCAACATTTTCTGAGTCCCTGAACTGCTAAAATTCTGACTTTTCTCTGACTTTCATTTTATTGCATGCATCTCCTGAGTCGGTTACACAGGAGTATTGAAGCTATTTGAAGCATGTGTTCAGGCCAGCAATAGCTACCCATTAACTTGACAGATGTGATCTACAAAAAGACAAAAATATGTGTATAGAAGCTTGTCACGAGAATGAAGCAAAATAGAGATTAACAAAATCCCCAGAATGATTTGTGTTATTCTTTTTGTTATGGTGTATATTATCATGGTTTTCTGAGACTTAGCTCTTTGTTATATAACCTGATACAACCCTTACATATTACATAATAACACGCTTTATGTTTCATTTCCCAATAGGCAATTCATACATATGGAAAAGATAAATCTATGACTAAGCTCTTGGATAATCTCATATTCCATGTTTTGCCTGTATTTAATATTGACGGCTATATCTTTACCTGGACAAGTGTAAGTATTTTGCTTTGGTGTCATAGGTCCTTAACGAGACTTTGTTACTAGATAAAATAGTTTAGAAAAAGGCCAGCCCATAGCCTGTTCCACCAGTCTTTGCTGTACTAAAGGCTTAGTTCACCATTAATGACTTTTGCCAAAAACATCCCTGTACACTAGAGAGTCCTCAGTACATTTGTATTTTCATGTTCCCTGTTACTCTGGACCCCTTCGGGGGTATCACTACATGTGGGGGCTCGCCCGGGATAATTTCCAATACTTTGCAATCAACTCTTAAAGACAACGCCAGCATGGACCCTGCAGCTGCGATTGAGTGGTGCGGTGAAGAAAACAGGCAGGTGGAGTTGTGTGTAGTGATCAGTGGCCCTGGCAGTGACTGGGCCGAGGACCAAATCCGTCAAGCATGGGCTGCCTCAGGCAAAATATCTGTGCTGGATGTGAGGGTAGACCTTAGCTCAAATCATACGTATGCCCTAACTGAGTGGAAGAAGGGAGTTCCTGATGTTCTGCAGATAGACAGTTTCCAACTGACTGCAGATGTCAGTGCTATACTAATTCACCCAGATGAATCAAACTCTGTTCCGGGGAACTCAGGAAGCACCATGCTGGACCCAGAAGTCAGCACCTCAAAGCCAGTGACATCCTCAGAGGAATCCTTTTCTCTGCTAGTGGCTGACTTTGGCAAACTAGTTACAGGGCTTCTCAAGAACTCAGTAGGGTCCACCAATTACGGGTATCGCAAACTACAGTTCTTCTCGGGGAAAGTTCCCACACCCTCAGGAGAAGATGACTTTGATACCTGGATGGATCAAGCAATCCAATCGGTGGAAGAGTGGGATGTGATTGACACGGTAAAGAGACAGAGGGTGGTAGAGAGCATGACAGGCTACATGTAGGACACTGCCATCTTGTGTTGGCTTCAACATCCTTAATCAAACATTTATAGCAGGGTGGTACACATTTTTATGCTGTCCTGCAGATGGCAGATGATGCACCGAGTGTTGAATGCATGGTCCTGCAAACTCATGAACAGAACCTCGGCTTGTTCCCTATCCACACATGTGCAGCCTGCTCTTTTTCACTCACCAGAAAGAGAGCAGATTACACATGAATGGGTAGGGAACAAAGATGTACCCATTCATGAGTTTCTGGGGTTGTGCATCCAACGTTCACTATGTCCTGTTATCTGCAGGACAGAGAGAGTGGGCAGTGCAATAATCAGCTTAAAAAATGAGCATTCATTTACAAAACAGAGCACTGCATGTACTGAGGATTCATAGGGATGTTTTTGGCAAAAGTCATTAAAGGTTAACTAACACTTTAAAAAGCTATGTTGGCTGCAAAATCTTCTATATGCAAAAAAATTCTGGAAGTGTCAGGTACTTGGTCCCTCTCTTTTTTTTTTTTTTTTTAATTTAAATATTTATTTATTTTCAGAATAATATACACATTTCTTCATCAGTTTCATATACAAAAAGATCATTTTCCAAAACCCTATAATTACTTTACAACCCCTAGTTTCTTCCCTCTACCACCCCCCGAACCCCCACCCAAAAAACCCACCCCCCCCTACAATGTCTCCATTTTCCCAATTAATAAACCCTCCCACTCTGCATACTTCTAATGACTTTTCCCTTAATAAATATACAAGAACTTCCTCCTAAGATATTACTTCGTAGATCTTGCTACAAAATCTTCCCATTTTCTCCACTTCTTAAAAAATAACCCCATCTTGTCTACTTGCATGTAGTATAATTTCTCCATCTTACATATCTGATTTGTTCTTTCTACCCAGTCCTCCTCTCTCGGTATCTCTGGTCTATGCCAAAACCTAGGAATCAGACCTTTAGCCGCATTCAAGTAATGCCATACACCGGAGTCTTTATATCTATTTACTGGTAGATCTGTACTATGTAATAGACACACCTCAGGGTTCAATCCTATTTTTATCCCAGTGATTATCGAAATTAATTGGACTATTTTCTCCCAGAAGGTTTGTATCATTGGGCACTCCCACCATAGATGATATAAGGTACCTATTCTTCCACATCCCCTCCAACACTCTAAAACCTTTCCCCCATTCATCTTGTGTTCCACGTTTGGTGCAATGTGCCATCGCGATAAACATTTATAATTTACCTCCACCTCTCTCATACTTATATTTTCGTGTATCAACCTATATATTTTCCCTTGTTTTTTCCTCATCTATCTCTAGTTCCAAGTCTCTTTCCCATTTTGCTATATACAGTGGCTTTGTGTGTGTAACTAACTCGGTGAGAATTTTATATACCTTAACTGTGCCCCGTTTCCCCATCTCCGCGTGCATCTAACAACCTCTCAAACGGATTCCAATCCCTTCTCATTCTCAAAGGTTTCGGAAGATTTTTAACAAAGAGTTTTAATTGGTGATATCTCCATTCATCTATTTTAATAAAAAGTTCTCTTTTATCTGTTTTCAAGTCCTTAAGTGTTCTCAACTGCTGTCCATCCATTATATCTCTCTCAGTTGAATATCCTCTTTTTTGAACCATTTTCCTATACTCTCTTCCCTACCTGGGGGAAAAAAAAATCTGTGTTCCTAAGTAATATTAATTGTGAATTGAACTCCCATTTCATATATTTGTGCAAATTATCCCACACCTTAAAAACATTTACTGTGAAAACACTCGTGGAATCTTTTAAACCTCTATACTTTGCTGGAACCCATATATTTTTACTCAAGGTAGATCCGCTTAAATCATTTTCAATCTTAACCCACCTTTTTCCCTCTGGGTTATGTGTCCAATCGTACATTCTCGCTAAGATTACAGCTCTATAGTACCTCTTTATGTCTGGCATTCCCAATCCTCCCTTCTCCTTATTTCTACTCAGTAGGTCATATGATATTCTAGGTTTTTTATTTTTCCATATATATCTTGTTAACATCTTTTTTATTACTTTAAAGAATGCCTCCGGGATTTTAACTGGGACCATCTGAAATTTATATAAGATTTTAGGTACAATTACCATTTTTATCAGGTTTATACGCCCTATCCAAGACAGGATACCTCTTCCCATTTTCCTTAATTCCTCCTTGATCTCATTTAAGAGTGGAATATAGTTTAACTTATATAAATTCGTATAAGAAGCAAATAATTTAACCCCTAAATAGTTTATCTCTCTATTTTTCTATATAAAAGAGAATTCTTTTTGTATTTTTTCTTTTTCGCTACTTGGGAGATTAACATTTAAGATCTCAGTTTTTGATGGATTAATTTTCAGGTTTGCTAGCTCCCCATATTCCTTTAAGCTCTTCATTAAGTTGGGAAGTGTTATCCTTGGATTTCCCACATAAAACAGCAGGTCGTCAGCGAAAGCTGCCACTTTATGTTCTTCGCCTCCTATCTTCACCCCTGTTATATCTATATTCTTCCTAATTGTTGCCAGCAAAGGTTCCAGCGACAGAACATACAGCAATGGGGACAGTGGACATCCCTGTCTAGTTCCATTTGACATTCCTATAGTATCTGACTTCTCCCCATTAACCACTATAACCGCGGAAGGCTCTCCTATCCACTCTCTCATTCTTTGCTCCCACTCCTAAAGTCTCCAGGGTGTCCATCATAAAGCTCCAGTTTACTCTATCAAATGCTTTTTCAGCATCAATCGAAAGCACCACTACTGGCGTTTTCCCCTTCTTGGCCTTCTGGATAAGCAACAGAGATCTTAAACCGTTGTCTCTACCCTCTCTTCCTGGCACAAATCCCACTTGATCTGGCTGGATCCAATCTGGCATTAGATCTTTTAATCTATTTGCTAAGACCTTTGCATATAACTTTGTATCGATGTTCAGAAGTGATATTGGTCTATAACTAGAGCATTGAGAAGCATCCTTCCCCTCCTTTTGAATTAATACCACATGGGCCTGTAAAGATTCCCGTCTCATCTCCATCTCTCCTCCCCAGGGCATTCATATATTCCTCCATTTTTGGTAGTAACAAGTCGCTATATTTTTTTATAGTACCTCACTGTATAACCATCTGGGCCTGGACTTTTCCCCTTTATGGTACTTTTTAATGCACTTTTTATTTCTTCCTGTGTTATTTCCATATCTAGGGAATTCAATAGATCCTCACTTAACTTCGGTAATCCTGCGTTTTTAAGATACGCTCTTCTTTTTTCTCTACTCTCTTTCCCACCTATATTGACTAAGTCTTGAGGGGCAATATTATACAACTTACTATAGTATTCTCTGAACACTCTAGTGATCTCTTTGGTAGAATAAACCATTTCTCCGTTAGGGGGTCCTTATTTTTTCTACATAATTTCTATTTTTTTTTTCCCTCAAAGCTCTCATCAAGTATCTACCTGGCCTATCTGCCCATCTATATCTCTCACTAGCAACTTTATTAAAGATTCTTCTCTTCTCCTCCTCCATCAAAAACCCTAGTTCTTCTCTCTTTTTTAACATCTTCTGTCTTATCTCATCTGTTCTTTTAATTTTATGTATCTGCTCCAATTCACTTATTTCTCTTAACAGTCCAGTGAGTTTCTCTCTTCTTTCCCTTTTCTTTTTTGCCCCGATCGCAATCAGTATACCTCTTATATAGAATAGAAAAACACAGCAGTGAGCGCTAATCCTGAAAGCGGCTAAGCACTCTAAGCAACCAATATAAACTTAAATGAAATAACATAAAAATAGTGCAGCGCTAAAAGTAGTGACAATAAGACAGATAAAAGTCCACTAAAAGTCTTGGTCATATGGACGTGTCCAGTGACAAATGAGGATTCAGAATTGGTGATCCGTGTGGAAACGGCTGAAAAACGCACTCACCAGAAGTAAGACACATAAACGCAGTGTGCATCTAGAGCTCATGGATCCTCAATCCAGAGGGGAGTAAAGCTGGTCCGGTTACAGGAATGGTGGATCCCTCCTCTGTGGATGCAGCAACAGATCCTCCTTCTCTCGATTAGGTGTAGAATTCCAAGATCAAGATTCTGCAAGCAAAAGTTCCTCCAGGGAGTTTTTAGGGAAGGACACCCATAGTGTAGTAGGTTATAAAAAGCAGCTTTATTAAAATAATGATATCCAATTCAAAGTAGGCAGGTATCATAAAGATGTGTCAGCAAGACAAACTAACCCTGACACTCTGAATAATGGCCGCCGGGCCTCCACGTGGCTCCGGCGGCGTAGCGTCTCGACGTCCAGGCTCCTCCTTACGCGTTACGTGCGCACGCACATCTTCAGAGGCATGGAACCATGGTTTATGATACCTCTTATATAGGCCTTATGGGTCTCCCACACTGTGGCCACCGACACCTCCCCTGTCTCATTCTCCTGAAAAAATCTTTCGATTTCTACTCTAATTTTCCGGTCGACCTCGGGATCTAGAAGGAGAGCTTCATTCAACTTCCATCCTGTCCCTCCTGACAAACATCTCCCCCACCTCAGTTTCAATGTAACCGGAGCATGGTCAGAGATAGAAATCTCTTCAATTTCTATTTTGTCCACCCTATCTATGAGTTGGTGGTCAACTAATATGTAGTCCAGTCTGGAATACATCCCGTGGGCATTAGAAAAGTAAGTGTAATTTCTCTCTTTTCCATGTGTCACCCTCCAAATATCCACCAATTGACACTCATACAACACGCCCTTCAGATTTTTCAAAGCTCTACCTCCCTCTCTCTGCACCGATGAAGTCGTGTCCATTTGTGGGTCCATGCAAAAATTCAAATCCCCCGCCACTATCAGAAGACCCTCCTTAAATGCCATCAATTTTCTCAGAACTCCCTTCAGGTATACCTCCGGTCTCTTATTTGGGCAATAAATATTCACAATAGTACATTTCTGTTCTTGTAATCTACCCTTCAAAAATAGAAATCTCCCCTCCGGGTCTGTTACTCTATCTTCAATCTCCCACCTTATATTCTTTGCAAACCCTATTGCTACACCCTTAGCTCTTTTAATCGGGGAATCAGAACAGAACCATGTTGGATATTTTCTTGAGTACAGCTTTACATTTGATTTAATTTCTAAGTGAGTCTCCTGCAGAAAAACCACTGAAGCCTCTCTGTGCTGTAGCTCCTTGAAAACTTTAAACCTCTTCCCTGGGCAGTTCAAACCTTTTACATTATATGTTAAAAATCGCAAGTTTTCCATCAGTCTTGTATCAATTTATTCTTATTCCCCGCTCTAGCATGCAGAGACTTAACCCTAAGGCCCCCCCTAACCCTCTTATCAAATCCCTCCCCCCCGCTCCCCCTAAACACCCTCCCACTCTCACCCCTCCTACTCACTCCACCTCCCCCCCCCCCCCCCCCCCCCCATTTAGGCCTTCAAGCCGCCTATCAATCATTTGTGGTAATGAACCCACCTTTGATTTTTATACCTGGGGATTGAACTCCTCCCATGTACGACTTACCCCCCCTCCAACCTCCACAGTTTCCCACGCCTGTTTTATTTCTTTAACCTTAGCGATGCAGTTTAGTGAGATAGTTAGGGAGAGAAGAGGAAAAAAAAAAAAAAAAAAAACTCACACTCTCCCAACTAACTCCTCGCTACCCCTCCCCTACCTACTTCCTGCCATACTTCTTTTCCCCCAAAGCCTATTTCTATCTCTGTTTCCCACCCACTGATCCTCATTCTCTGCATTTCCAGTCTGTCACAGAAGTCTCTTAAGTCCTCAGGAAATCTCAAAAATGCTGTAACACCGTTCTTACATCCGATTAAACACTCTGGGTTACCCCATCTGTATTGCACATTCCTTGATCTCATCTGCTCTAACAGGGGCCTCAAAGCTCTTCTTCTCCACAAAGTCTCGTGCGATAAATCCGCAAAAATCTGGAAATTTATATCTCCATACTGAATAGTTGTTCTTCCTTTAGTCCTTCTCCAAATCTCTTCCTTATCTCCATATTTTTGCAACTGAACAATCACATCTCTTGATTTTTCCTTCGCTTTACCTTGTTGGGGCTTTCCTGCTCTAAAAACTCCATCTAGTTTAAGTTCCTCTGTTACAGGTCTGTCCATGATGGAATTTAACATTTTGCAGACTATTTCTTGTAATTCTCCCCCTTTCAGGATATCTGGGATTCCTCTTATCCTCAGGTTGCTTCTCCTGGACCTGTTCTCCTGTACTTCTATTTTATACTGCAGTTGTTTCTGCATATTCTCATTAGCAGGTGCCCTAGATCCTGACGTATATTTGTCATTTCTTGTTTAATAGTTTTTTCCAGATCCTTAAACATTTCAGCCATCTCTCTTTTATTTGGCACTTGTAGATCTTTTACCAGGTCTATCCTCACGGAATTTTCTTTCCACTGTTGGTTACTATTTTCCGGGCCCAATGACAATTTAGGACTGTTCTCCAAGGAGGTTTCCATTTCCCCTTTTTCATTTCCACTGTTGGCCCTTTCTGGAGTCGCATTCCCCTGGGAGGTATACTTTTTAATTGTACCTGTCTGGGACCCTTTAAGCCCACTACCTTTAAACACTTTTATTCTTCATATCTTCTGCACTGACTGTGCTCTTTAATCAGGGGGAAATTTTAAACTGTATATTGGGGTAATGATGTCAGATAGGCTCTGTCAATTTAACACTTCCTTTTTCTTTTCCCACTGTTCACTTTCCAAATCCCCTGGGAATCCCCCTTTTTTCTTTATAGGCAATTTCAAAGTCCTTTCCCACAGGTCAGCAAGCTTAAACAATTATTTGCGTGTGGACTCACCCTTCTTCACCCCTCACTCACCCAGTGGGTCGACATAGATCCTCAGCCGTCCACTCGTTACATCTGGCCAATGTCTCTGGGGGATTCCTACATGGTCTCCTATGAACTGTGGGTCCTGTTCCTCTTTCCTCTCCTGTATGGTAGGATTGGGGTTTGAACCGGCGTCTCCGCTCTCCTGGTTGGGACCCGGCACTTGACAGGGAACCGGCCGGCGTCTCAGCTTCCCAGAGCTCCCTTGCGGCCAACCCACGTGCTCACTCCTCCTTACTGCATCTCCCCGGCAACCGAGCAGCTGATCGCGGATCTCCGTAGCACGCTCTCCTCCCTTAGCTCGGCTCCCGTCCCTTCAGAGCGCCGGCATCTCTCCCCCTGGAGACCTCCTTACTCAGGTAGGTCTCCACAGGACTAAGCAAACGGGGGTTTCCGTGGTGGTCTGGCTTGGAGGCTGTCGGAGAGCACTCACATCGTGCTCTCCGGCGCCGCCATGGTTAGGCTCCTCCCCCTCTTCCCTGCCCTGCTACCGGTCCCTCTCTTTTAGCTGTGGTTCTATCTATGTCACTAGTGTCTGCCTTCCGACCTTCTAGTGTAAACAAAGAATAGGTACACCCCTGTTTAAACTTAAACACTGAAAAGCTTCTAAGGAGAGAGAGAACAAATGAGCCAAAGCTGCTAATAATCTGACTACAACCCGACCAGAGGTGACTTTGTTATGAACTTTGAGAATATGTTGCTCCACAATGTCTGCAGCTACAGAGGTCTTCAAAGAGGTGTTTTAAAGTTTATATGCTGGTTGAAATTCTATGAACAGGTTAACTTTTTAAAAAAATCTGTGTATGATGCAAAATATTTTTAAAAAATTCCAGGATCGGTTATGGAGAAAGAATCGTGCCACAACTCCAAATGAACACTGTTTTGGCATTGATCTCAACAGGAATTTCAATGCTTCATGGACAGGTGGGTTCTCTTCAATGCAAACAATTTACAACTGTCTTTCCATAGTGGAAAGGATGACACGGGAACATCTGCTTAAAGTGCACCCCAGCTAAAATTGTTTTTCCCACTGGTATCTTTTTATTGGAAAGATTTCCCTCACTTCCTGTTCGATTGATAACTTTGCCACTGGGACAGGAAGTCAGGGAAAATTCCCAGTGCTGACACAGCAATAAAAACTTGCAAGGTTCTAGTCTTTAATTGCACTACAAAAGCTGTGCTCATTGCCTTTACCTTTCTATCCACTATTTATATAAATAAAGTACTTTAAATAAAAACCTGCAATAGTAATAGAGAAATTTCTTCTTTTAGATGATGGATTTTATGGTGATCCATGTTTTGAAATTTATTCTGGAACTGGCCCAGAGTCTGCACCAGAAACTAAAGCAGTTACTGGACATATTCGTGATCACCTTTCTATTATGAAAGCGTACATCAGTTTCCATGCATTCGGACAGTTGCTCATGTATCCCCATGGATATACAAAGGAATTGGTACCAGATCACGAGGAACTGGTAGGTTCATCTTCATACATCATAAATAATGAAAATATTGGGATTATTACACTTTCCTGAGTAAATGGGCAAACGTTACATTAACATTTTATAAGATATACCTAAGGTAACATTTTAGCCTTCTAGAAAAAAATGTTTATGCAGCTGGACTGAAAAGTATCATTCCCATGTCTACTTTTTCCTGGTTTCAATTTTTGATCAATAATTGACTCCCTTCATAGAGGGGTTGGCATTAATCTGAGTGAAGGATTCAGACAACAGCTTGGATATGATCTGTCCACTACATGACCTCTAATGTAATGCTGCTGTTGATGAGAGATGGGGGCATAGCAGCGGCTGAAGGCATTCCTCTGCTCCTCTGTGTGGGCTGTCACTAGGGGAAAGCTTCCATTTTCAAATACATACTTGGAATTCACTGTTAATAAATATATTTCACAACATAATTGGGAATAAGAAAGAAGGGATTATGACTAACCAGCAAATACCATATTTTGGAGTACCATACAGGACACACGCAACTTGTCTATACACCAGTTATAGGCTCATAAATTCAAGTGATTGGACACTGGCAAAGGACCCCCTGGGCATCTCTCCTATAACCCTAATCTACTCAGTGAGTCCTCATTTCTGTGACTCCTCATTATTGTAACACATCAATGCAAAGCAAACCAAAGAGTGTGTAAGGTAGGGTGTCTTGTGTCTTGCACTGCACTCCAAGATATGGAATTTACAGCTAAGTCAATTTGTTTTTATTTTAATTGTTCAGTACAGGACACAGGAAAGTTGTTCATACACCACAGGACATTCCCAAGCAATTAATATATGGGTGTGCAACAACTTATGCAAATGGACTGTGCCATCAGGCACAAAAAAACAACACGGGTCTAAGACCCAAGCTCAGGCTACTGCTGCAAGAACCTTGCAGCCATGAGTAAAATGTTCAAAAAATATGAACAGAGGACCAAGTGTCAGTCTTCCACAGAAGAGAAGTGAGCAAGCAACAGCTCAGGAGGAGTTTTTTTCTGAATAGCATAAGCTCTTGGGATCAAGTTCTTGATCCACCATCTAATGGTGGATTTTGAAGCACAAGTGTCCCCCACAAGGTCCTGAAGTTAGATCAAACAGGGAATTAATTGTTCTAATAGAAGCGATAGAATTTCCTTAATGGGTCCAAAGGGTGGTTTCTGCAGGACAGACAGAACCAGATCAAGGCCCCAGGGAAGCAGAGGATGCTGCAAAGGTGCTGGTGGTGGTGGTGGTGGGGGGGGGGGGGGGGGGCTAACAAGAGCAAAACCTTAAATAAAGCTTTTCACAAGGGAGAGAGAAGCTAGAGACTGTGAATCAGAATGTATTAGAGGGCCTTGTGGAAACAGATCTGGCCTCTTAGGAAGAGACCATGGATAGTTGGCTAGAAGTCTGAACATGTCTGTGTCAGGGGCAGACTGACCATTTGGAAACCCGGGATCAGTAGGGGGCCCCATGAGATGCCCGTTACCTTTTTCATAGGCTTTTTTGAGTTTGGGCAAGGACACAGGGGCCCCATGATCCCCTATTGCCCAGGGGCCCCATGAGTTGTCAGTCCGCCCCTGGTCTGTGTACCAGGTTCTTCTGGGCCAGCTTGCTCCATGTAAAATCACTGTTTTCCTCTTTTCCTCTGTTTTGTGGATCTCAGATTAAATCAGCTTTAATCAGTAGCAGAACCTTTTATAAACCTTTTTATACTGGGTTATGAGTGTTTTTAAGAGCTTTAGATAAGATCTTGTGTAGGTCCTGAACAATCCAGGGCTATCAATTTTGTTTCCTTATAAAGGATTACTATTACTATGGAGAATATGCTGATCCATGATAAAGAAACACAATGATGATATCCCTGCTTTTGTAAAAGGGGGTACAGGAAAAAACATTGTTCAGGATCTACACAGGCCTCTCCTAAGTGTACCCTAAAAGTAAACCTGTGACCAGCTTATGGACATTCAACTATTTTCAAATCTTTAAAAGCAGCAAATACAGTAAGCTTTAAATAATGCACTCTTTGATCTCTGTAGCTGCAGACACTGTGAAACACTGTAGTGCTTCTCTAAGCAAGCTCTAGCTCCCTTTCCCAGCAGTGACTCGAAAGTAGGGATGAGCTCAAGGTTCAGTCCGACCGCAAGTGTGGACCAAACTTTGGCTGTTTGGGTGTTCGGATGATATACCTGAACATTTACCCATTCAGCAGAGTCGAATATCATATATAATGATAGTATTACTACCGTTATTGTACATGGCAGCTTCCCACTCTCAGTGGTTGTTAAGGATGCCAGTAGGTGGAGGCACCAATATGTCCTTAATATCAGCCATATTCACTTACATGACCAGGAATCCCGGCCATGTAAGCAATGGGGTGGAATCCCAGTGATGTCATTGACTATATATGATCATATCCATATACTGTATGGTCAATGACATCACCCGTAGACCACCACCTCTTGCATGTAACAGTTGTCATCCCTCCCCGGCTGGTGACATGTGAACGAGCGTGACGTCTTGCCAGTGGCAGTTTTTTTCTTTTAGCAGGTCGTTGTGATCAGGCATTGTGATCTCCATTGTTGGACAATATGTTTTGATGATGGACTTGCAACACAGGACATTTTTTTTTCGGGGGGGTATTTTTTTAATAAAGGACTTTCAAACGTTTTTAGGTTTCAATTGTTAAACCTCATACTCATTCACACGGAGGGTGGAATCAGGGTGCCCTATTGTTAAAGGTGACTTCCAGATTCCAATTAGCCCCCACCCGCAGACCCCCATAACCACCTGGGAAGGACTGTGGGGCAGTGGCCCTTGTCTTCATCAACATGGGGACAAGGTGCTTTGCCAAGGGGGTATGTGACTTGGTATGGTATGTTGAGGGTATGTGACCTGGTATGGTATAGGGGAGACATACACGTTTTCCCTCCCCTCCCACCACCCCCCATTTCTGGCTGACTAGGCTGCATGCTCTTATCAAGGGTCTGGTATCGGTTTTTAGTGGGACCTCACACTTTTCTTGTGTTTTTTTTTTTTGTTCCATAAAGATTTTATTGAAATGACTATAAGACAATTGCAGAAGCATTGACATGCCAAAACAGTGGTACACTGCAGGCAGAGTAAAAACTTGCATGGAATACCCCTTAAAATCCAAAGCAGATCCTGAGTTTTAGGGGACCTTTTTGTTTGAGTGAGAGATATTCCCTTTAAATTAAGAGCAGGCTCAAAGGGTTTGGATTGCATATTTATGCATTTTTATTCTTTCTGTAGGATGTGCTAAATCAAAAAATGACATTTACAAATAAAAAAAAAATGAAAGTTTGAATTGCCAGCAAATTGCATTCATAGTCAGCTCCTCAAAATGTCCCCCAGAATACATAGCAGACCCTTTGGGGGCGGTCTGCGTTCTGTTTTTGTTTTTTTTGCTTTTTTTTAAACAAAAATGGTCATAAGTCAATTGCTCCGCAGTTCTAGAGCAGGGGAAAATTCCAGAGAGCTGGAGAGCTGGTCTGCAGAGCCTCTCAGCTCTGACCACAATTTCACCCCCTGACTATTACACCCAGGTTGCTATTCAGCCCTTCTGACGGAAGATTGGAACTCTAGCTCCCCTAGCTATCTAGGAGGGTGCATTTAACTCATGCAGTGTTATGGGGATCCCACTGCACTGGTAAACTTAAAGCGGATATTTTATACTTGTTATAAATCCTCCTGCGCTTCTATGGACCCCGCCCCCCTACCTTTCAGCTGCTTACACTCAGACTGATACCAAAACAGTGCACAAATGAATATCAAACTAGTGTAGCGCTAGTAAACTAAATCATAAAAAGCATATTCAAATCTACACACGTGCCACTTAATTCATAAGCAATATTTATGAAACATACATCGTGGTAGTGCTATTTCATATTTTACTACTAAACATATATCCTGTGATAGTGCCACTTCAAAAACATGTACCATGTGATCCTGCCACTTCATTTTAAACGAATCCATAGTCCAATGTTCAAATAATGAAAAATATAAAGCAGTATAATTCAGGTGATGCTTATATACACATGCAGTGTGTCATTAGTGCCATTCGTGTAAACACACTCTTCCACTCCAGCTGCAGTGCCTCCTCACCTCCTTTCAGCGACCCCTAAGGGCCTACAAGTCTTTAGGATCACCCTGGATCCTCAACAATCCTGGTTGGTAACTCTCAGGCTGTCCTCCTATTTGGCCTCCTCCACACCTTCACCTTTATGACTTATAGGTTCCTCTACAACGATCCTCTGCAAATTCTCACTCGCATAATAGTGAGCCAAAAAAAGAGATCTCTCACTTCCTTCATCGGCCTCCTGTACTGGGACTGACACACAGGTAGATGGGCGTGGTCTCGCTGTGTGTCAGTCCCAGTACAGGAGGCCGATGAAGGAAGTGAGAGATCTCTTTTTTGGCTCACTATTATGTGAGTGAGAATTTGCAGAGGATTGTTGTAGAGGAAGCTACTCGTGCATGCGCAGTGGGCACCCGGCTGTGAAGCCGCAAGCGATCACAGCCAGGTGCCCACACTAAAGATGCCAGTGCATGGTAATACAGGACGGCCAGTGAAACGGGCTGCGGCAGGGACACCGCGGGATCCTGGGACAGGTGAGTGGCTGTTTTTTAAAAGTCCTACAGTAACTTCTACAAATTTAAGATCTGTCACAGAAGTACATTAGTTTTTTTTAGGGAACAGCTGACCTTTCATTAGTAACCAAGTTATTTTTAAAGCAGAATTGCAGTCAGATATAAAAAGCCACCTAATCTAGTTACAAATTCATTAAAAAAATCAGTAAATGTTATTTTACATGCAGCTGATAAATATACCTGAATTTGATTGGATATCTGTCTTCTGTAATCACATTAAAAGCAGCACTAGAAGCCAGTTAAGCCAGCTCTGCTAATGTTCACATGTGCTGAAAGTAAATATGCTGCGATGATGAGAGAGAAGAGTGATAATTTTATCAGTGTGCTGCTCCTCCCTCATTGTCCATTGGAAGGCTAGGGTAGGTCCTAGACCAGGATCCTTTGTTCAAAAGCACTGTAGCTTGAACAGAGATCATAGAAAAAGAAAACTTGGCTGTGCTGTCTGGCAAGGGAATCTGGATCACAAGCGTGAGCTCACAGAATTACAAATACTTTGGCAGGTAAGACAATTAGTTGAACTGTACATTGAGCTTTTTGCCTGGGATTCAGCATTAAGAATAAGTGCACTTTAAAGCAAAGTGTACTTATCTGCTTTGCCCCTTCCCCAACTTACTCTTACCTACCATCCCATATTCCTTACTCCAGCAGGGTCCTTCCAGCAATGTTACTGTTCACGCGATACCTCTTCTGTATGGCGCTCTTTACCTTGGTCATTTTCATGGCTCCTCCACGTTTAATGCAGATTTAATAGCTCTACATTGTATGTAATGATGCTGAAAAGGCCATCCACAGCCCAGAGCACCAGAGGGAGAAGCCAGCTGGATTGGGGGTAAGGAAGCAATTCAGCTTTTCATCTCCCCTTAGACACAAGATACACCTAACCCTTGCTGTAGAAGTGCCCCACTCTAAGATTTTTTTGTTCCTGTCTGGAGTTGGCCTTTGAGAGAGTTCTATATTTGTTTTACCATGGAACCTTCATAAGTTGCATTTTGATTGACTGTCATAGTTTATCCCATTTGTCCTCTGTCATGCTATATGTAGAATATTTTTTTTCTTTTTATCTTGTAGAACAAGATAGCAAAATCTGCTCTTGATTCCCTGAACAGCCTTTATAACACCACCTACAAATATGGACCCATTGCAACTACAATATGTAAGTTCACAAGGAGTAATAGGACATAAAAATTAATCTTCTCTATACCCATAAGTGACAAGGCAGTGATGCTGCAGACTGACAAACCCCTCTAGCTTTGTTCAATCATAGAAAAGTAGATTGCATGTCACCAGTAACCCAAAATGTCTTTGAAATTGACTCTACAAAAATTAAATTACTAATAAATGTCACCTGCAAAGAAAGTGGTACTGCTACACATGCTGTGTTTTACTGGTGACTGTACAATGAAGCTACTTTGATCCAACTTTATTGTAAAGTTACCATTAAAAGCAATGTTTAACATTTTAGGCCACACAGGGCCCCTTACTTAAGCCCCATGCACACGATGAGAATGCCGCCACAGTCCCAATATAAGTAGCTGATCACGCCATTACTAATATAAAATAAAAAAAATCCACTATCTAAATTTGTATATCTGTAAACGCTATAACTTCCACATAAACCAATTAATTTACACGTATTGGGATTTTTTTTCTAGCAAAGACATGTAGCAGAATAGATTTTGGCCTAAATTTATGACAAAATTAGATTTTTTTTTTATTATTATTTACTGGACATGTTTAATAGCAAAGTCAAAAATATTGTTATTTTCTTAAAATTGGCAGTCTTTTTTTTTAAAGCGCAAAAATTTAAAAATCTAGAGGTGATCAAATACCACCGAAAGAAAGCTCTATTTGTGGGAAAAAAAGGACATAAACTTAATTTGGGTGCAGCGTTGCATGACCGCGTAATTGTCAGTTAAAGTAACGCAGCACCATATCGCAAAAAAATGGCCTGGTTAGGAAGGGGGGTAAATCCCCTGGAGGGCAAGTGGGTAAACAAAAATCATACGATCTGGTTTTGTACAAGAACATTTTTTTTTATGTTTGTCCCTTCGGATAATTTCGTATGAACTGTTGGGAGCTGTTGTGATCGGCTGTTAAAATCTGTGTACTAACGATCAGATTAGTGGTATTTTTCGTACAATTTTATGATCATGTGTCATGTTTAGGCAGACAGTACACAGTCCATCAAGCTAGTGATCCACCCCTAAATTATCACATCATTTTCCATTAAAATTCTAACAAAAATTGTCATCCTCCTTGCGGGAAATTAATCATATATATTCACAACAAAATACCTTTGTTAGTCATTAACCGAAATTGTGCAATACAAAAATGCAGAATTATTAAGACATCAATCAAATCCCCAACTCATTTTTTAACCAGTGTACCCTTCTACTCTGTTTTGCTGTTGATGATGGTTTCCTTTCCTTGCTTTTACCCACTCTATCCAAATCTTAAAAAAAGAAAAAAAAGCTGGATATACACTACGAAATGCATAGCTTCTGTCTGCCCTACAGTAACTTCTACAAATTTAAGATCTCTTGCACAAGGTATTTTTAATATGATCCCAATTTGCAGTCTGACAATATTATACTGTATATGTATTGCAAGATATTTGGCTGATTACAGGTGTCAGTTATAAAATGGCTCCATCATGTGTATATGTACTGTATATATGTACAATTTGTATTGCAGACAAAGCTTATGGTGCATCACTTGACTGGACGTATGATGTAGGAATTAAATACTCATATGTTTTTGAACTACGCGATGATGGAGAATATGGTTTTCTTCTTCCTGAACATGATATTGAACCAACCTGCAGAGAGACCATGCTGGCTGTGAAACAAATTACCAGCTATCTGATTGATCTGGATACTTAGAACAGATACATCAATGTCTATTTTTTAATTACGAAATAAGCACAATTATCTTTCTATTGATCTCATGCAATTGTAAAATAAGTTATAAACGTGCATAAATCCATGGTATATTAAAAATATAATGTTGTATACTAAGCATTCAGCATAACAAAATAAAAAAATACAAGTATAAACTTTGACAATGTGAGTGGAAATGTTGCCGTATATGCTTACTTTCATCAAGAAAAATATGTGTAGGTAACCATATTGTGGTCTATAAGTGTTATGGTCAACTCCTCACGTTGAAATTCACACCATAAATCCCATACCTCATGAAATTTAAGGGGGCAGTTCTTCCTTCTATACACAACCTTTTCATATGGTATGATGTACTTGAAAATTATTGAAAATTAACTTTTTCAACTGAGATATGCTAGGAAGGATTGGGTTGATTCATTTGATAGCAATGACTTTACATGCCATGAACAATGCTTACCGAAGATTAATTCTAGTATAATGTGACCAATGTTCTTTATCAAGTATACTAAATTGGTAGGTTTCAGGCACCTAGAGGAGAGGTTGTTTTATGAGATATACAAAGTCAAAGTGAGACTGGGAGCATCATATACAGTTAGAAATGGACATGCATCAAATTTTACTGTCTAATAATGAATAGACATGCAAGTTGGTTTGCTCAGATTAATTTTTCAGACAAAAATTTCATTTTAGGAGATTCGGATGCACCAGAGTTTCAGAATGGACATAGAAACAAATGGCAACAAATTTTAGAAAGTTATAATGAAAAAATAACTAATGCAATCGTTCATTTATTTCATTTGGAAGATCTTATTTTCCAATTTGTTCGATAATGATCCACCAAATTCATTGTGAATATCTGTAGTTGTTAAGGAGCATCCTTAACAACCATGACTCATCTGCTGTCAGCAAGATTCCCCACCTTTAGAAGGTAAACAAAAGAAGTGCTGGTTTAAAAAAAAAAAAAGTGTGGGGGTCCCCCTCCAATCCCTCCTGGGCCTCCAGGTCTGGTATGGATTTTGAGAGGAACCCCACACCAAATTTTTTTTTAAATGTGTGTGAAGTCCCCCAAAAATCCATACCCATCAATATTCACAGTGTCTTCAGTACTCGCAGTGCCCCTCATTACTCACAGGACTCCTACAGTGTCCCATCCATACCCAAAGTACCCCTCTATACTCACAGTGCCCTTCAATATTCACAGTGTCTTCAGTACTCACAGTGGACTCTCAGTACTTACAGTGCCTTCTCAGTACTCAAAGTACCCTCTGTAGACTACAAAACCTAAAAGACAATGCGCGGTACTGAAATATTGCCAGAAAAGAGTCCTACCGCTTCTGATTCACCCTAAATGAAGTACAGTGTCAAAACACTGATATGGCAGTTTTAGGTCAATGCCAGCCAGAATTGACTCCCTGCTGTGCCTTGCCATATTCTCACCAGTGGACTAAGGCATACTTATATGGTATCCTTGTGCACGGAAGAGGTAGTTGAACATCTTGTTGAATGCACTTTTTTATGTATTTATTATGTAATTATGCATTTTTTTCTTAATTTTGCTGTCAGGGCTCCGGGTATGACCAGAGGTATGTGAACTGACGCAGGGAAATGCAGGCTTCAGATGTTATAAACAAATATAATTTATTAATACTAACAATACAAAACGCAGTGCAATACTAAAACATAAACAAAGTGCAAACGAACCAAACCAAGCCACCCACAGATAACAATACATACAATGCAAGCGTAGTCAGGCAGGCCGGGTCAATAACAATCGGGCAGGTAGGAACAGGAGGAGCAGGCAGAGAGTAGTCAGGTCACAAGCCGGGTACAGCAACTAACGGGCAGGTAGGTACAGGGGGTCAGGCAGGGAATGGTCGGGGTCACAAGCCAGGGATCAAACAGGAGAAGTCAGCAGAGGTCAGGATCAGGCAGGGTCAGCAACGAGTCAGTCAGGCAGGAACAGGAACAGGAATGCAGGTAACAAGATACAGGGGCCCATAGAAAACCACACACCAAGGCCCAGACTGCAGGTCTGGCCATCCCTTAAATACACCTCCGTAATCAGCTTCAGGTATTTGGCTGACTGCAGGGTTAAGTCTCTGATTGCTGAGAGCACCCGCTGGCCAGCCCTGGTACTGCAGCCCACAAGGCAGGTGAGTCCCACCATTACTGGCAAGTCCATTCCTTACATTTGCTGTCAAGTGCATTGTTCATTTAATACCTCTTGCCAAAAACCTCGAAGGGTTTACTCTTCTAAATAGAGTAATTTTTGAATAGTTTCTGGGGTCTTCCCCTAAACCACTGCAGATGTAGTACAGGGCAAAAAAACTGACATGGCAGTTTTTTAGCCATTGAGAGACAAAATAAGCTCCCTTGTTTCTGGGCACTACCATGTTCCCAGAAAGTGACTAAGTATGTGGTGTTTTAATGCAAAAAGTAATAGTATAAAGTATTTTATAGCATCATTGAAAAAATAACTAGACTACAACAATATTTTTTTTTCTTTAGTATAAAGTAACCCTAATATAGGTGTACATCATAGGTGTGCCTGGGCACACCCTAGTCACCAGGGTTGCCAACCGTGCACTGTCTGTACAAATTCTGAGGCTACAGTGGCTTTGCTTCACCTTTCTGCTGCCTCCTCAGCCAATGGGAACAGCACTGTACCTGCCCCCTCCTCTGTGTGCCTTGTCTGACTTTACAACAGGAGGTGCTGGCAGCTGAAGAGGGTGGAAGAGGGAGCCTGCAGTGCAGGACAGACTTCATCTTACCAGGAGCAGGTAAGCTGGGCTGAACGCATATAGTGAATGGCTTACCTTAGTGGGGGATGCCAAGTGCCCTCCATACACACAGGAAGGAAGAGAGGCGTTACTCCCTCTATCTGGGGCTCCTGTGTTTTAGAAGATGTTAGAGGTTATTTTTTTGTGTGTGAAGACATCTGCACTGTCTGCTATTCCTGGAAAAAGGCCAATGTCTGAGATCTCCCACACTCTCTGCTAAACCTCCCTACTCATTAACTGCTCAGTAACACACAGGCACAGCTTCCTTCTCTTCTGCATGACCACCTCATGTGTCTGTGAGCTGGTGGGACACTACAAGTCCCAGCGTGCCAGGAGATGGGAGGCTGCAAGTTGTTAGGTCAGGCTGACTTTTCCATAAAACGTGCTGTTGTGTGTGCATATACTTTATTTATCATAGGTACTTATATAGCGTCATCAATTTATGCAGCGCTTTACTTATATTGTGCATTGACATCAGTCCCTAACCCTCAAGGAGCGTACAATCTAAAGTATCAAACTCATACTCATACAATAGCAGTGCCGCACTTTTCTCATAACGTCATTAGAACCACTCAAACGTGACATAAAATAATTTCCCCAATATAACTGAATTAATGAAAAAATACTTAAATGTGCCAAAATACAGTGGAATAGTTCAGTCAATCACTGTTCATGATTCTTCCGTATAAAAATCTTTCCATCAATATTCCATATCTTCTTTTTTCATACACGGTGCACCTCCACCATCAATAACACCAGCTGTGCCCTCACCTGGAATTTCTGACCTCACAGCTAAGTTTGGTCAAAAATAGTCTGCATCCCTTAGGTGCACATGTAGTAATGATATAACACCTATCGAGATCTTCCTTCCGTGTTGGTTAAGCTGCTTCTTGTAACTCCTTCTCCTCCACTTAGCATACATGTAGGAAATACATAGGCAGACCAAGGAGGGGAGGGGCTTGGTGACGTCACAGCGCTTGCAGTCAGTTGACTCACTCCAAAGAGAAATCGTGGAGGGAAACACAAAGGGAGCTTTTCATAGCCAGACGGTGTCAGCTGTTTACAATTCATGCGTATGTTATTGGGTGCAATGGAGCACCTGTATCTACAATTCATGCGTATGTTATTGGGTGCAATGGAGCACCTGTATCTAAAATTCCTGCGTATGTTATTGGGTGCAATGGAGCGCCTGTATCTACAATTCCTGCGTATGTCATTGGGTGCAATGGAGCGCCTGTATCTACAATTCCTGCGTATGTTATTGGGTGCAATGGAGCGCCTGTATCTACAATTTCTGCGTATGTTATTGGGTGCAATGGAGCGCCTGTATCTACAATTTCTGCGTATGTTATTGGGTGCAATGGAGCGCCTGTATCTACTATTTCTGCGTATGTTATTGGGTGCAATGGAGCACCTGTATCTACAATTCCTGCGTATGTTATTGGGTGCAATGGAGCACCTGTATCTACAATTCATGCGTATGTTATTGGGTGCAATGGAGCACCTGTATCTACAATTCCTGCGTATGTTATTGGGTGCAATGGAGCGCCTGTATCTACAATTCCTGCGTATGTTATTGGGTGCAATGGAGCGCCTGTATCTACAATTCCTGCGTATGTTATTGGGTGCAATGGAGCGCCTGTATCTACAATTTCTGCGTATGTTATTGGGTGCAATGGAGCGCCTGTATCTACTATTTCTGCGTATGTTATTGGGTGCAATGGAGCACCTGTATCTACAATTCCTGCGTATGTTATTGGGTGCAATGGAGCACCTGTATCTACAATTCCTGCGTATGTTATTGGGTGCAATGGAACACCTGTATCATGTGAGTTGCTTATTTATATTTGAATAAAATTAGTGTTTTTAAATAATAAAGCACTATTGGTCTGCCTGTATATATTCTACATGTATGCTGAGTGGAGAAGAAGGAGTTACAAGAAGGAGCTTAACCAACACGGAAGGAAGATCTCAATAGATGTTATACCATCACTATATGTGCACCTAGAGGACGCAAGCTATTTTTGACCAAACTTAGTTGTGAGGTCAAAAACTCCAGGTGAGGGCACACCGTTTCTATATTTATTGATGTTCACTAGGTTTCCTACGTTGGTGCATATGCAGCTTGTGACATTTTTACTTTGTTGTTAGTGCTCGCTGTATCTTCACCATTTTTGAAACATACTATTGACAATTTAGACA